TATTCGCGCGCGCTGATTGGCTAGTTCGGAAGTGAATAGGAAGTATTATCACCTCCGAGCAGCCTATGAGACAAAATCATGCGTCAAGGATTTAATTTTCTGACCATTTTACAGTATATTAAAAGACATAAACTAATTTTTTTGGTATCAGTACGATATATACTAAAACGATCATTCACTTAAGTGTCGGTGAAAGTGGTGGATAATTGTCCACCACTGTTCACCTCCACTTAGGTGAATAAATGATCAATTATTTCCAACGGTCTGAGGTACTTTGACCTCACCTCACTCTTGTATGTATGCCTAGTTTCTTTTTAGAATAGCAGTCAAGGTGCCAGCTGAGTAAGTGGTTTTTTAAGAAGGCAGCGAAGTAGCTCCTGGAAGAGTCCATTCCTTTCGCGACAGAAGTTCCCACAACGTCTTTCGTAACTTCTTCAGAAGTTTGAGCTTTCACTGTCGCTTGAGTTTCTAGAGAATTGAGAAGGTTGTCGGTACCTGGTGTTGAACTGTCCGTGAGTTTAAAGGAATAACAAAACTATAAAAAGAAATCACCGTGTACGATGAATTGTAATCAGACACACAATTCCCATTGATAGTTACTGTCAATCAAGATCAATAATTAGTCATGGTGATTACTAAATTTACTTTTCGTTACGAAAAGGAAAAACGTGTTACCTTTACAAGCAATTTTCTCTTTTATCGTGTTCTTACCGTTACTTTCAAGGATACCAACGCTAAGATTTATCAAAAGATTTATCAAGAAATTGCCTTTTTTTACAGCTGACTAACCGTGATCTTGCACTATAGTTTTTTAACAACATGGTGAGGCCCATTCTCACTTTTTAAAGTCTGAATGAATTAAGTGAAGACTATCACAGAACCGGCTTAATCAGCGACAAAACACGATAATAAGTTCGAAACGCTACTATTAGGCCTACCAACCCTGACTTAGAAAGAAACTCCAAGGATCCCGCTTTCCTGTCTGAAGCAAATACGGAAATTATCTTGCGGAAATTATGGCATATTTACCTCATGAAATGACGTACGGTAAGCAGCATTAACGAACTATTTAAGAGCTTACGTGCAGTAGAAAATAGCAAAGTATATATTTAAAAATAAACTTGCAGCGCCGCGGTCCTCTTTGCCGTACGGGAGTTTAGAAATAGTCGTAAGGTTTCACTTCGGTGATCACACTGGCAAATCTGTTGTCAGTTCCTCTTTGGTTTGCTTCCATCAGGTTCCACTTTGGTGTTTTTAGCGCCATTTTCACATTGGTCTTACTGCTGTCAGTCTTAGCCATTTCAAAATCACTTAGATTTGCGGAAATGGTTTTAAAAACTCGAGAAGATATTGATACCTAGTTTCCATACATACTTACATACATGCTTTATTTAGCGTGGAAAACACGATTAGCTTTGTGACCGCTTAATACAGGTTTGCCGCTTTATACAGACTAGGGGTATTGTAAAAGATGATACACAACGCCACTTTATGCCATAGTAGACCGTTTAATATTAATGTACCCAAAAAAATACTTGAAAGATTATTCTTAGTTTTATTTGAGTGGTTCACTTTAAGTGACTGTTCAAAACAGGTGGGAGACAATACAAACAGGCTGTTGGGACTTTATAAGGAACGACCTTAATACAGATTCGAGCGTACATACATTGTAGCGAAAACTGTGGCTGCCAGTCACTAATTTCTGGAACTACTTTAAAAGTCATTTGAGCCAGGCGCCGCACGAATATCATAAGGTGATGCGTTCCATTGCTTTGTTGCAGTATAACGCCACGACTTTAGTCCATATTTGATAATGTTTACTTTACTGAGGTACAGGTAGATTTAAATTTCCCAAAAGGTCAGCCGTTGTATTCTTTACATTTGTTAGGCTATTGAAACTCGGTGGGGCTTTGACAAGTGTTGGAGCTTAAAGACCCTATATCATGGTCTCTGGGCAAGAGCAATCATGCCCAGAACCAGATGCAAAGCCCTAATGGCCATGTTGATCCCGCTGAAGAAGATATATCCCATAAGGTGCGTAAAGTTGAGTCATTTATTGATTATTTTAAATCTAGGTGTCTTGCTTTGTACCAGCCCAGCCAAAATTTAGCTATTGATGAGCGGATGGATAAGTCTCGCCACAGGTCTGGTATACGACAGTAAATCAAAGACATGCTCGCCAAATGGGGTATCAAATTGTGGGTTTTGGCTGACAGTTCAAATGGCTACACTGTAGACTTCAATGTCCACGTTGGTAGAGCCGCAGAGCAGAAAACTAGTGAATTTAATTAGGTTATGATGATGGTTATGCTGAGACTTTTGGCCTTTTCTAAATCAGGGTTACCATTTCTATGTCAATAACTTTTATTAATCGGTCCCATTGTTCAAAGATTTGTTTGCTCAGGGAGTCCTTGCCACTGGTACCATCCTGGAAACCAGGAGAGGCTTTCCAGCTGCGTTCAAAAAGAGTAAGGAATGGGCTAAGGGGGAAAAAGGGTGACATGCTTTGGGAAAGGATCCTCCTCTTTTGGTACTTCAGTGGGTGGATAACGAAGTAATTTCAATGTTATCAACTATAGATAAAGTTAATTACCATAGTCTGCTCAACAGGAAAAGAAAGGTGGATGGCGTGTGGGACACAAGGGAAATATCACAACCTAAAGTTGTAGCTAATTTCAATAAGTTTATGAATGGGGTTGACCGTTCTGATCAAATTCTAACCACAAATAGTGTACCACGTAAGTCCACGAAGTGGTGGGAAACTTTGTTTTACCACCTAATTGACATGGCTGTAGTCAATAGCTTTATCCTTTTCAAAGAGCATAGGGCTTAGTTTCCTGACGATGGTGCTCTAAAAAGGCCCTCTAATTATTCCTTGGGTGATTTCCGGGAAGAAATTGTTAGGCAACTCTGTGGTTTCTCCGATTATGGTAGTCCACCCGAGAATACCACGGTGAAATCACTCCCTTCCGCCCCAGAGGAGTTTACAACTGTCCATATCCCAGTTTCCTCTGATACTCAGAGACGCTGTACGGTATGTTATAAAGAGGATAGGGGAGATTTTGGGGTTCGATCTTATTGTAATGCCCCGGCTCAATATCAGAAGTATATTCATGTTAGTAAGGGTTAGGATTGTTTTGCAGTGTTTTATTCTAAGAAGTTCCATAGCTAAATTTTTGTTGTACCACATTTCCCATAATTATAACATTTTGCCAATGTTTTTTCCAATGTTTTCTGATATTGTTTCTCAAAAATATATACAAAAAAAATTTGAATTAAAAAAAAAAGTTATTTTTTTATACTTTGCTGCTTTTTTCTTTGTCAGAGAGAATAGTTGTGATTTAGTCCTAGTTCTGAGGACTCCCATTAGTTAGAAGGGATGTTAAAAAGGCTAATTCATTCACTTAGTAACACATCAGGACCCACCCACCCTCCTGATAAAAAGTTGAATTTCCCCCCAAACATTTTTTTCTGCTAATTTTTTTTAATGACATGACGCACATAAAAATTCATAAAAAATTCATAAAAAATTCATTATTTGTTCTTTTTCTATTAGATTTTCAGGAAATGTTGCTGACTAGTTAACAATCTACTTTTTTTTATCAATTAATCTTAAATAACCTATACCTATGAGGAAAAGTGACTTTGACCTCAATTTTTACACTATTTCTTACTTATTTTGTCTTTTATCAGGAAAGTCCTGGGTTTCAATGATGAAATTTATATTTTCCTAAGAAGTCCATTTTATACACTTTAAAATGAGATATTGTAGGTGTTATTGCTGTAAATATTTGTTGAGATATAAATTAAAAACTGGATGTGGACAATTTTTGCGTTTTTCCAGCTGCAAATAATCAGTTAAGTTTACTTCAGATGGTACTCCTCTCATTTTACAAGACTAGTGAAGTAAATGAATTGTATCCTCGGTATCGTTACGTCAAGGCTAGGTCAATCTGTTATAACAGCACAAACGTATTACCAATTTACGAAATATGCCTTTACATCCAAAACTGGTTTGCCTTCTTTCTTTCCCGTATCTGTGCTACAAATCCTGGAAGGTTTTTCGGCATTTTTATCTCTTTTGAGTGATATCTGCCTCCTTATGAAAAATGAATATTTCAAACTTGAGTTCATTTCAAAAAGGTGATTCTACTGTGTCGCATGTATGACTTGACCCAGAATATCACAGCATACCATCTTTAATCGGCTTGCAATTAATTTTCATCGGAAGAGAACGTGATATAATGATATAAGATGGCCGAAGGGTGACCTTGATCGACAACAAACGTCATACATCACTTAATTTCAGCTAATACCTAAAGGAACTCCATGTAAGCCTCTCAGTCAACACAGAAGAGATATAACCCCGCGGAACTTCCAGAACGGATTTTCAGACAAGACTTACGTAGCTCCTTTGCAATTCTGATGATAGACTGACTCTCTTAGCCTAAAAGCACTCCATATATCAAAGTAGAATGACGTCCACTTTTGACAGCAAGATATCGACACAATGTGGATGTTCAATTCTCTCGGCACAATCTGATCATAATAAAGATCGATCGGCTTCATTTTTCATTTCAGAAAATGCCTGTAGCTTCAAACGTCTTTGTTGTGTATCGGTAATTGAACTTATATTTAAGAAATTTAGAATAAGCGCTCTTATAAGTTTATGTCATCAAATGCAATACACCCGCTGCATGCTGGTAATGTTCATTACAACGAGTGGACAAATGTTGTGATTCTTCGCAAACTTTTCAAATAAAGAATTCATGATCAAGTATGTTTGAAAGATTTAACTCACCAGTGTTAATGTCAAATGCAAGGGTAATCATGAAACGATTAAAGACTACCTGTCTAGTTGATAAGCATGACCTGTAAAGAATGTTTTGTGAGGTTTGGCAAATTGTCTCATTAATCCTTCTTACGTGCGACCTGTGTGTAGGCTTGGATCCAAAGTGATGTTGGGCTTACACCAAGGCCAGGGTCTTTCATTACTAATCGATGCGGGTGGAAGATACAAGTGCACTTAAATTGAAAAAAAAAAAAAAAAAAAAAAAAGACAATTGGAAAGCAGATCATTTCATTCCAACCCAGGTATTTATGGCCATATAGGTTTAGATTGAATAGTTTTGTAGTTGACACGTTAAAGGGTCTGTTTGGGTTGACTTGCTACTGACTACAAGCTATACTAATCTATGCCGATCATAATGAACTCATGATGACGCCTAAGTTTACTGGAGATGATTTTTGAGTAGCCTTATGATATGTAAATGTCATTCGGTTGATAAGTACAATAACTAAAAATCAGTCTAACGCATGGTTAAGTTTAAAGTTTAGTTTAAACTATGAATAATCGAATTATGACCAAATTCAGCTTTTTCCGCAATGAGAGGGCGAGAGGAATTTAAATATACAGATTGACTAGGTGTTATCTTCTTCTTCTTCAAATTGTTGTGAAAAAAACCAGCTTGAGGTTCATTTTCTTGTGTTTTCCATCGGAATGTATTACAGAGTAAGTCTCATTCTTTTGATTATTATACAAGATATGTCCTTTTCATGCTCAGTCGAAGCATGATATTGAAACTTTCGTTTTAACTTGAGGCTAAAATTGAATTCAATATACTTTGATAGACCATATCAGAAATTAAATTTGTGTTAATGGTACGGCATCCGTTGTTCTGGTATATTTCTAAACATCATAACGTGTTATTCATAACTTTACCTAAGGTTATGGTTTTGAGAGTGTATTTGCATGCTTGAACTGGAAGGGAACTATGTACAATAGCTGTGACCTGCTGTTGTTCTCGTTCTCATTCTTTAGATAAGAAACCCTGTCGAAATTATATCGACACATGTACTCCCTGAGCAAGATTTAAAAAGAAAAACACAAAATTTCAAGTGCAGTAAAAGTCTGCTATGATATGCCAAAAACAAATTGTTAGCCAAATATTTTCTTCATTGCCCACGTATACCTGATATCCTTAATCACGATGAAACAAAAAATATTTTAGTATTTTGCACCAAATTGTGATTGCTATTTCTTTTCGGTTGGTTTCTAATTATTCTGTAGAATTGTTAGTCCTATTTCTCTAGGCGAGAGATAATATTTTATCAGTCCCAGTTATACGAAAATAAATAGTAAATTCCCTGTCGCTGTGAGCTAAATAAGTTCCTTCTTGGGCTAAGCTTCAGAGCAAATCCACTGTGTATAAATTTTGGGAGGAACATATTACAACGTATGAATGTAATTTTGTAGCCTAAAATAATCCTAATCACCAACTTCCATTTTTATCACCCAAAATACATTGAGGTTCTTCGACATGTCGGAGTATTTCAAGCTTTTAAACGTAAGGTATCGATCGTTTCAATTTATGTCTTTCAAAATATATATGATAAAGCTTTCTTCACCTCTAGAGAAGGAGAATAGGTTACTGTTTGTTTTTCTCAGGACAAAAGTTCTCCTTAAAAAAGCTGATATGTAAATGAATACTGTTTAATAAGAATATTCCCCCAAGTTGTCTCTCGCTTGTTGCTTTTGCCTGCTATCGTCGAATTAACTGGTTCAATTTTTGCCACCGAATATTGCTTAACGCTCTTTCGACATTACGATCAAATTTAGAATCCTAGCTGTTTTCATACTCCCTGTATCTTCATTACTTGTGAAAATGTTGTTGCTAGTATTGTGTTTTCTGTTTATCTGTAAGTGCAATGTTTTCTTGACCAAATCCAGCAGAATGTCTCAGTGAGGACAATTGATCTTGTAAAAGAGACTTTTGTTATTTCAATGCTACCTGTCCACTGGACTTAGCCTCCAGGCGTTTGCTTGTGTATTCATGCCGGCCCCAACCAGGAAATTTCTACTTGGTCTTCTTCTCCAGATTTGTTCCAAATAGTGTCACTTGACTTCACACAGTCATTCTAAAAGCACCATTACACGTATGCTACTACTGGAAATGTTTGACGCAAAAGGGATAATGTAGAATAATGTCACAAAGAATTAATTTGACCACCCTTAGACTTCAATTGACTCCCTCAGGTTGTTTTTCTCTTCGAAGGAATTGCAAAGGAGTGCAATAGTGTTAAGCTATAAAACGATGCTGTATCGATGTCATTATCAGCCAAATTGACAGTCAGCCACGATAACTTGTATCAAGTATATAAACTCATCAGCAAAGTTTGTCTGCTCGAACTCGTGGTATGCTCATCTGCTATTAATCACGTCAGTAGCTCACAGTAAACGTGAGGTAATGGTAATGTAAAATTTCTTATTTATGTGAAGACTCAGTCAGGTTCATACGGTAAACAATAGCAATTGTTTAATTAACGTGTCAGAACATGGAGGAAACTTCTATAATTTGTCAAAATTGTGAGCATTTACTTGAATATTTCTTTTAAAATCGCAATGTCATCATTTGAAGTGACCTGTTTATGTTTTTAGCTCTTCCGAGAAAAGAGAATGCACATGTTTTGGTTCCACGTCTTTTTTTCTTTCGCGTTTTTTTCTTTTGAAATTCTAGTAGCGCCCTTGTTTTGTGTCCAAGTTGTTATCTCTCCTAAACCGCAATTGTTAACCTTTGTACCTCTAGGCTCAGTCCCAAGTTTTAATCAGTACAGTGCACAGATAATTTTAAAGTCTAGGAGCTAAATCGTGGCAGTTTGATCAAGTAACACCATAGACTATCTTCAACTAAGAAAAAATGTAGAAGAGCAACGTAGCACAAGCAATAATAAATCAAGAAATAAGGATACGGTAAAGGATGGAGAAGATAGATGTAATCAAAGTAAGATTCTGCTGAAGTCTTCCTAAGGTGCACGAGCTTTGTCGTAGATCTGTCAAAGATGTTGAGTACCTACACACCTTTCAGCATTCAAAATGCATCAAAGACGATCTGGCCCGAAACTGGAAATCCAGCTGAAATAAATGGCACCGTTGATTTCTGCTCTAACACTTTTGTTATTAACAAGGTTACCGAATAGAAAAATTTATCTAGCACCAATCTCAGACCAATTTGGGAAGCAGGAGGAGCTTGGTTTTTGAGGCCTAAAAGTCGATTGTTTTTCATGTTCACGCTTTTATGGCGTACCGGAAACCGGGGCAGACGTGCAGGATCCAAAAATATGGCCAGTATGAAGCATTGGGAGGTCATAAGCTGCTTACGAGCCGATTGTTTATTTACTGACATTGAACTAACAATTACTAATTGGTATAGCACGCAATGGACAGAAATCTAACTATTGAAGCTTACTCTGTACTCTCTTATTCTCTAATTTCATCATTGATACGTTTTTACCGAATAAACGTTAACTTAGCCATTATCTGAAAGTAAAGGAGACGGTCATTAGTTATTACTCACACGTGGAATTTGTTTTTCTGGGTGGGGCCGAGAAGGAGGCAATGGCCGTCGCCAACAAAGCTTAAAGTTGTGTAATTCGAACAACAAAGGATATTAGCTACGTGTTGCGTAAATACATTTACATTTCTAGACGAAAGTCTGGTTGGTGCCCCCATATACAATTTATCGTTTTGATAGTTTTTTCACTTTGAATGGCCTCCAAGTAAACGTAAAATCTTCTGAGTTACTAACCTGCGTGGCTTTCGTACAAACCAATTCAAACGCGATGTGCAAGGATTTATTATTTCTTTCTTTTCCTTCTGGAGTCGTTAATGCGTGCTGGTAAAAATCTCTCTATCAGTAGGTTGCCGGAAGGCAAATTAAGATTATGCTCTCCACTAACATGTTTCACAAGTCGGTTTCTTTATCGTCTGCTTTGAAATTAATTTTCCATACACTGACCGATCTCAGAAACCATCAAAGTATCAGAAAAACAGTTTTAAAAGAAAGAGGTACATTCTGAAAAAGGGCCCATCATATGCTTCTGTTTCTCATGAACTTTATCCTATTTGTGTTCCGCAAATATTAAGATTAGGATAAATGTTTCCTTTTCCCCCTTCAACCATTCTAGCTTTTCAAGCAATACAAAGGAGGAGTTTATTCGTGGGGCAGTCCATGCCTCGTATTGAGTGCTACGGTTGCAAAATAATTAATTAACATCGCATAGCATCGACAAGGGGTGAAAAGAAACTCAGAGATTGAAACGACTGCGGCTCAACAAGTAGTCTGCATGAACTATGCATCGTCATTTTTACTGACCAAAGTAAAACGTATCCAATGTCAATCTCATGGATTTCGAAAACTTCGCTCATAACCAAAAATTATCTTTTCTCCGGATTCTGCCATCAACTTTGCTTCTACTCTAACATGAGTAATGGCGAATTGCATAACGTAGTTTCCAAACGCATCAGTGGCTCAGGCACATGTATGAATGCTTGTGAGCAACTCGAATATAGAAAAAGTGTAAGGAAACCAAACGCCTCACCCCCGAACATCGATTGGACGATGACATTAGACAGTATAGGGTAATTTAAGACTACTGACTCTACGTTTTTATTCATAAAGACGTTAATGTTAAGTAACTTTCCTGTACAATATCGGTTTCAAAGTTTGATTAGTTGATAAATGGACCTTGTGTCGTCTTCCCATCTCGGCAATGATGTTGATTAACAAATCGCGCTAAAAGGGAAGCGATGGGATTCCGAATAACAATAGCAATAACAAATGTTCAATAAACAGTCATGAAAAGTGGCTACTATAATATTGCTAACTGTCTAAACAATTAAAGAAAGGATTCGAATACAAATATACACATTCATGAAAAATGTAAAGGTATAAAATACAACAATGTCAAAACTCACGATAAACAATTTTAAAATAATTAAAATAGGTAATAATGACAAAGATAAAAAAAATCAATGGCCATTCTCCCATTTGTTTACTTTAATTCGTGAACTCTTTTCGTCCCTAAAACCATTATTAACCTATAATCATGATGGTCGCTTATGATCAATTTTTGTAACGCGATTAAAGGAGTTATTTCAAGATAGTTTAAGGGCTTTCTCGAAGAGTTAGTTGACGAGTTAAATTTAACGGTGATTTCTCAAGTAAATGAAGGAGGAGGAGGTTCAACATCAACAGGCATGGCGTCAGTGTAGTATTATAGAAGGTCAAACGTCTTTACAGAAAATTCTCTTATGC